GGACGGCCACAAAGTTGAGGCAGCATTAAAATGGCAGCGAGAACTAAAATATGATTCTGATACGGGATCGTCCGGAAAGTACGTCCGCTTTTCTCAGAATCGTTCGGCAGATAACGATAGCTCGGCGCCTGCGAGACTCAAGGTAGGCCATCCCGCAATAGACACATGCACTGTAAGTGAGAAATAGTCTACCTACCAGGCGCTTCGAGAGCTTCCAGGTGTTAACTTGCCAGGTGCCTGACGGTGAATGACTTACTGGACGATCCCTCCTTAACTGTATGGTTGATAGATAATCTTACCCAACTTATGGCTCGTCTTATGATTATTGTCCCTGAGGTATAAGCCAGGAAACGCAACCTGCATGAGCCTTTACTGCTCGGCTCCTGCAGAGCACTTTTAGTGTAACGGGGGTCGACAGCAGAGTATGGCAGAAACGATCGAGCACGTCGGCGTGCCTGGCCGCCTCCTCCTGTCGGTCGCCCCTCCTCAGGTACAGGCTACATTCGCCAGGTGTAGTCCGGCCTGCCCTCGGGCGCGAGACAGGTGGCCTGTGGTGCTGACCCTCGCCCCGCCGTCCCCCGCCCCCGCCACGGTCCTTGCCGAGCCGGGCCGCCGCGGCGCGCTGGCTCACTTTCACCACCACGCGACAAGCAAAAGGCAGCAGCAGCAGCAGCAGCACGCCGGCCCCGCACAAGCGCGTCGCCAGGCTCCACAGGCCGGGGGGCTCGGCTCGACGCTCAGGCCCGCGGAGGCGGAGCGTATACAGAGCGCTCCGGGAAGCCAGCCTGTGTAATCGGGGACATGCTACCCACGTCCCGTCCAGCCGCCGCCGCCAGGCCGGCAGGCCGCCGGGCCGCGCCGCGGCGTGCAGGCGCGCGCCCCAGTTCACGTACAGCCACTCGCCCCGCCCCGCCCCGCCTCACCTAGGCATCAGGCGTATCGTGTATCAGCGCCGCGTTGCGGCCCCGGCCGTGCTTTACATATCGCGGCCGCGGCACGCGGAGCGGATGAGTGGGCAAACCTCTCGCGCCGCGGTTCAAATTCGACCAGACCTTATCTCTGCCGCCGACCGAAACCGGCGACGCGGCAGCGGCGGCGGGGCCAGAACGAAATATATATGGGCTGCTGATAGTCGTCAGGAGGCGGCGTTCCGCTGGCCCCCGGCCAGGAGGAGCGCGAGGATAGGTGGAGGAGGCCCTCCGTGGGCACCACACGGCACGACGCATGCCCGCACGGCCGTCACTAATGACCGCGGCGTCGTAGAGGCTGGCAACATCGCGGTGCGTGGCCTGGGGGAGGCGAGGCGTCGCTCGTGTGCTTCCGCAGCAGCGCTTCCAATAACGACACAATGCAGAGCCATTCCGTGATATTACCCCCTTCCTTCTTCGTCCCCCCTTCGCTCCGCTCCGCCTGCTGCTGCTCCTTTCCTGCTGTTGCTGCTCCTGCCTGCTGCTCCTGCTGCTCCTGCTGCTCCTGCTGCTGTTGCTGTCCAGCAGGGACTCTCAGCTCGACTCTCTAGCAGGCCGCATGCCTTTTACATGAGCAGCTTTGGCCAGTGGTCCGTCTGCTGTCGAGCGCTGGCCACGGGCCACGGCCACGGCCCACCATACCACCCCGCCTTGCTATAGGGTAACAGGGCCCAGAATGCCGCCGGGCCGCGAGGGACCTTTGAAACGCCTCAATGGGTCCCACTGCCGGAGTCCATTCCTCCTCCTTCCTTTCGCCCCGTCCCGCCGGCCCCGCCCCGCCAGACAGCCCGCGGGCAGGGCAGGTTGCTGGCCTGTCCTGCTGCGGCGGCGGCCGGCCGGCACGGCGGCGCGCAAAGGAAGAGCGTCATAAAAGCGATGCAGCGCTGCGCTCCCCGTCGCCCCGCAGCACCGCGCCGGCCGCAACGGCGGATCATGCACGGCATGCATGAATACCGCTCACTGAGCCGACACACGTCGTCCACCAGGACTTCCTTGTACAGTTTTCTGGTTCACGTCTCACTCCCCCGCGTCGTCAAAACATGGCGCGGCGGCGGCGGTGCGGTGTCGCTGACAGAGTTGGAAAACAAACACGCGACGAGTGAATTCGTGACGCCTACTGTGGGGGGAGGGAGGGAACGAAATTGTGAGAG